TGTCTTTCATGTCGTGACAAGGCATTACGTATCACGTACTAAAAATAAATACGCGAAAGCTAACCGAATCCACATTTGTCCGGAACATTTCACCGATAATATAGAAAGAAAATACTTCCGTTTATGCGCTTAAACGACGACTTTACAACAAGATGATCTATTCAAAAGAGATAATAGTTTTAGGGCGGCCGGAGGGGGCGGCGCACTTCCTTATAAGAGGCTAATGGGGAGATATGCGGCTGGATGAGGTCGCATTTTCACGACTGGATTGACTATAAAGGAGTTGCATTTTCAAAAGAGTTACTAGAATGGGGCCGCACATTTTCGGATTTTTGGGGTAAGAGAGTTGTTCATATTTACGGTTAGCAAACGTACCAGGATATTTGTACTGTAGGTGAAAAGTAAAGTGTTCTTCATTCAATTTATTAAAAAAATAGCTCAATTCATTTTTTGATGACCTATTTAAAGGATTGATAAGGTAGATAAATAGAAAGTGACTAAGTTGGGATCGCAAAAATTACATATTTGCCCAAGAGTGACTAATATGGGGTCTAGGGGCTCTGAGAGGCCAGCGGCACATACCCAGCAAAAAGTACCCCACGTAACCCCCCGCGGGGCACCGTGGTTTCGTTGAAATCATAACAGTTCTCCTGTAAAGCTCCACGGGATCCCAGTCAATCTTAATAAGTAAATTTTCTTTTCAACCTAAATCAAAATGATTAGTAAAAAGAATAGTGCCCTTATTTTTTACCCCAATTTTCTTTTTTATAAAAAGTACATAAACAGACCAGAATCTTACTTTTCAATTTAAAATACATGAAGTATTCGGCGTTGTTGCCTATGTTTCTCATGGCACGAAAACTTACTTTCATATGACAACATGCGGGTTTTTTTTCGCACGCTCAGGAGGTCAAAGGGATGTGATTTTGTATGAAAAAAATATTCACAAACTTCTGCCTGACTTGGTTAGAAAATAATTTTTTTAATTTTTGAGCCATTTTGAAAAAATAGCTCATATGTCAGTGGTGTGAGCGTATGTATCTTTGTGGCTTTGTATCTTTGTAACTTTGTATCTTTGTAACTTTGTATGTTCGGATGTTTGTTGCAAGAGCCAATAAGGTTGAAGGTACTATGAGTTGATGCTAAGGAACCAATGAGATCTTGGCATCTTAAAAATCACATTGCTAAAGGTCGAACAAGGGCACTTTAAGACCGCTATCTTGATTCTTTACAATTTGTTCGTCTTTTATTACGACTACAGGTGTTTGGAAACATTATATTAAATATCTTCATGATTCAAACGCTGTGTACAGTGATACAGCTGTTTAAGGGTTCATATTTTAGTGTGGATGCTACTTCAAGACATTTCTGACCGAATTCGGCCATCGCGAACGGTACCACGCGCGTATTTATGAGTTGTGTTTCACCTGCTTCAAGGTAGAGTATAAACGATCATATATTTTCAAAGCTCTTCCAGTGAAGCAATAATTGATATTTAGATATGGACTTTAATTCGAAAGTATGCGGCCTATAAAATGTGGTTTTAGAAGTTTGAAAAGCAGCTTATTTTTTTAAAAGCTGTACCGAGTATTGTTAATCCTGTAAACAAGCTGTAGAAATATTATTCTCTCGCTTACAAAGTTCAACAGACCTTTTTCGTTCCGGCAAAACAACAACAAAAAGGAATAATAAGTGAACAACATGATACATCCTTCCTGCATACTAAGCATTGTAGTTATTGAAACGTATTTTATTTAGTAAAGATGCGTATAAACTGAAGTAGAAACAGTAGCGTTAGGGAATAAAATTGGAAGAAGCTAGTTGACACAATAATTAGGTACTGCTTTATTGAGTGGAGTAACATGATATGAGCAGAAATACATTTCGTCAGTTTGATAATTTTCTTGGAAGTTAATAAATGTTAGGCTATCAACCTTGACGTTGCATGAAACATAATTTAATTGCAGATGTTGTAATAAGGCCGAGGTGATTTCTTAAAATCGCTTGAGAAAATTTTGTAGTAAACAATTTGCGTTTTTTTTAAGTACGAATTGTAAAAGGGCCAAAGACCAACATCTTCACATGCAAATCTTGTGCATGAGTTATTTTTATAATTCTGTTTACTCGATTACTGTGATAACTCGAATTCCCTCACGTACGAACCACGGAAGGGGGCAAAGTTCAACACTTTCACGTGCCATCTGTGTGACTGTACATCTCATGCAGACTGGCTTTTCACAATAGTAATAGTGACTTGAACGTATAAAGACCTGTTTCGTTTAGTAACCAATGCCCTAAAAAAGGCTCTTGTCGTTTAAGAAGCAATAGCTTTTAAAACATGAAGAAATACGTTGTCGGAGGTAAAGACTGTCTCACAAATGTTAATAAATGTTAGGTTATCAACCTTGACGTTGCATGAAACATAATTTAATTGCAGATGCTGTAATGAAGCCGAGGTGATTTCTTAAAATCGCTTGAGAAAATTTGGTAGTAAACAATTTGCCTTTTTTTTAACGTACGAATTGTAAAAGAACCAAAGACCAACATCTTCACGTGCAAATTGTGTGCAAGAGTTATTTTTATGATTCTGTTTACTAGTTTATTGTATGATAACTCGAATTCCTTCACGTACGAACCACGAAAGGGGACAAAGTCCAACACTTCCACGTGCCAGCTGTGTGACTGTACATCTCATGCAGATTGGCTTTTCACAATAGTAATAGTAACTTGGACGTATGATTCTTGTCTTTTAAGAAGCAATAGCTTTTAAAACATGAAGAAATAAGGTGTCGGAGTTAAAGACTGTTTCACTGAGTAGAATCGCACGTGAAAACCTCGTGAATTATGATGACGCAACCATCTACCTCAATGATAAAAATCCTGGTATTTCGTAACTATTCAGTATTCGATGAGTCACATTTTGGCTTAAGAAACTCCGAGGAAACCTTAGAGTTTTCCTTCTAATCAACGTTTGGTGAGTAGAAATTTATTTTACTTTAGGAATTTGTTTAACTTGCACCAGATGTAACTGGGAAAGACAGAGGAAAGTGAATACATAGGTTGAGGATCGACTCAGCTGAGCGTTTCGCGTTTTCATTTATGTAGCGCAATACCCAATTTCGCACAAAAACCAAATCTACATTTAGGATGAAAAAGGTAGATTCATCACTCTTGGTAAGGTTACACAGAAGTATTATAGTTACACTGAAGCATTCAAAATAGCTCATACACGTTGAACGTGCCTATGTTTAATAATTAACTAACAGCTCATTGATTTATTAATTTGGGAGACCAACTTGGAGGCCCGGGCACCCCAGCTAAAAATGCTTGGGAAGCCCGAAGGGCTCTCTGAAATCTTCCCTAGAGTACAGCCTTGCAGCCCTGTAGTTATTGGAAGTATGATACATTACATGTTATTGTTGAATGTGGAAGTGCATTTTTTGAGGACATCAGTAAAGGAGTGCAAATTTTAGTCAACTATCCCATAGTCCTAACATATATGGTGGTAATATTGATGTAAGCTTTGTTTTGAGTAGCAAAGGAACCCTTGTGTGTAACTCATCTTCTAGTGTGTTAGTCCTTAACAGAACATTTCCGTCTCTCCTGCACACATTTGTTGCATACACTACTCAACTTTCCATTGCCATTCAACGTAACGGTAATTCTTTCTTACACCAACACATCCCGCGTAAACGCCTTCGGGCGTCTTCTTCTTAGGGAATAGGTTAGCCTACGCTCAGCCGCAACTGATAAGTACCAAAGAACGAAGGTCAGCTCTACACCACAAACACGACCACCGGTAAAAAAACTAACATCTGACAATGCCAAGCGAATAACATTCCCAATATGGCAATAAGTAAATTCGCGAGCTGAGCATGAATTCAAGTACAAGTAAAAACAAAAGATCAAAACAGGAAAACAGTACGTGGACAAAAACATGGCTTAATGAAACAAAAACTAAACTTAGAAGTTAAGATAGATCCGTCTTAAAAATAACTTTCAAAATACTTCACCACAAATGGAATACAAGTTTATTGTTTGATTTAAATTATACATTTATAAATGGGAGCCTCGCTTTTAGCCCTGGCTAAATCTATATATTATTTACTTCATAGTAACCTCACTTACCAACCAGACACAAGCATGTACTTGTGCTAAATCATAGAAATTTTTGGAACAGGCATCCGACCGTCGGGTCGTGTTAGAGGGAAAACAACGACTGGAGACTAAAAGTGGTCGTTGGTCGTAATAACAGGGCGGTCGTATTCAGTGTTTCGAAGTAGTCATCTGACTAACAAACCTAAGGCCGACAGCTCGCTCATTCCCCCACCTCCCCCCTTCTTTCTCTCTCTCTCTCTCTCTCCCTCCAACAATACTCTGGACCGAATTTGATGTCTGAGGCATCGAATTTAGCGTTATCGAAATTGGCGCACGGCGTGGGATTTGGTGCAAACGAATTTGGGAACACGGGATAGGATTTAGTCTGACAGAAGTTGATGCCGAGACATCCAATTTGGTGTTATCGAAATTAGAATCACGGAATAGAATTTGGTGTCGTCGGATTTGATAAAACAGGACAAAGTTTGCTGGGGAAATGAGAAATTTACAGGCCACAATTTAGCGATATCCTGATCATAGGTAGCTTGAATTTTGGCGGGGATCACACGCCATATATAACGGGACGCTTATTCTCTTCTTTGTTAATATTTTACTTTTTTTTACGTCTTTATCTCGATGTTCAACTCGCAGTTGTATCATCCTTATGAATAGGTACGCTAACATTTTACCATTCTCTTTAAAATGGCCGGTTGGACATCGTTCCTTTAATTTTTATCGCTAATTGCCACAGTCCAAGGCAGTGCAGTTTTTGTTAACACATCTATCTTACAGTCAGGTCAGGAATAGACAGCAGAGACATCATAATCGTTTTAACTCTCTTTTTTTTTCCCCGCACAGTTGTCCGTCCAGGTTATCACCCTGGTACGCACGATGTTTACAACATGACAGCTCGCCCAAGAGGAATAACGCTGATCATTAATAACGCATCTTTTGCTCATCATCCTGTACATGGACAACAGTCACCTCGTCACGGGTCGCAAGAAGATGTTCGTCAAGTTGAAGCATTGTTTACTGCTCTCCATTTTTCAGTACGAACTAAAGAGAACCTTTCAAGATTTGAACTCTTGAACGAACTTGGTGATGTTGCTCGCGGGGATCACAGTGCTTATGATTGTTTTATGCTGTGGCTCATGAGCCATGGCAAAAGTGGTGAGGTGTTCTGTTCTGACGGTAACACGATACCTATTCAGACTCTTCAGGATTTGTTTAGCGATTGCCATACGCTAAGCGGTAAGCCGAAGCTGTTTTTCATCCAGGCGTGCAGAGGTGATAAAGAAGACCAGGGGGTGCCTGTTGCCACTGAAACCGGTATTTCATCTTACGAACAGCTTAGTCCCAAGCAAGCTGAGTTGAAACCTATACCCAGAGTAGTACCCACACATGCAGATTTCCTGTATGCATATTCCACAGTCGATGGGTATGTGTCGTACAGGCATGAGGCTCTAGGAAGCTACTTTGTTCGCGGTCTAGTTGAGGCATTCCGTGAACATGCGGTTTATGACCACCTTCTCGATATTTTAACAGTGGTCAACCAGCGAGTCAGTAACATGGAAGCCAACATGTCATCGGTGGAAAACAAAAATGAGATCAAAATCTTTAAACAAATGCCTGAAGTTAAACATACTTTGCGGAAAAAAGTTCGTTTTTAGGTCAGCGGTCAGCGTTTATTTATTTTCCTTAAAAGCCGGAATATTTCGGCCCTTTAGGACTTTTAACTTCAATCGTACAACGTGCAACCCAGGTGGAGGCTTTTAAGCCTAAGAGCCATTTTCTGAGCAATTCGAGAATAGCAAGACACTCGTCAAAAAATCAATTTTTTTACTTTTTTCCCAAAACATCCCTTTTAGTGACCTAAGTTAAGGAAAAATAATTTTGGGTTCACACGAATCACTTTAAAGGAGAAGTTAGAAAAAGTATGAAAGAAGGGTTACACCTACGGCCGGTTACCTTATTACAGTAACCATGTTTCGACTTTCAACGTCGAGTTTATTTGCTGCCACGGCGATATTCATCTCCATCCCGGTCCACAAAATGGTTATCGGAATTTGAGAGTTAACAGTGAGAGAAACAACATGGCGTATGCAAATTCTAGGTCAGATGTATCTGTCTTTTACACCAACTCAAGTAGTTTGGTTAACAATATTGATCAGCTAGAACTGAAGATTGCTACCTATCAATATAACAACAACAACATACCGTAAAATTCCGAAAATAAGCCCCTCCAAATCTAAGCCCCCGAAACCGGCAACACAAAAAACCCTCCGTTAAATCGCCCCTCCAAATATAAGCCCCCCGGGGGCTTGTACTTGGAAAATTTCTCTCAAATACAAAGCAAAAACGGTAAATTTACTTCCAACTATAAGGCTAGCCCAATCGATTTTGAAATGCAAGTTTCTCTCCGTAGATAAGCCCCTCCAAATATAAGCCCCTCCATAAATAAGCCTCTCAAAAGGGGGCCTTTGAAAAATGTAAGCCCCGGGGCTTATTTGCGGAATTTTACGGTAAGCTTTATTTGCATGACTATAATTATGTAGTTACAGTATTGCAAAAGCTTTAACATAAAGTTACAATTTATAACAATGTTAATGCAATGCACTGATTATCACAGTCAATCAAGTGTCATTAGCATGATTTGATAACAAATTAGTACGTAAATCATTACATAATGATACAAATTTCAACAAATGTGAATTTACGGAAAAATTCTGTGAATTCATGAATTTAATTATTAATTGTGTGTAAGATAGCTGATTAAAGTCGACAAAATTTTGTTGGATTTGATTGTAGAATTTCTCCCTTGGGATTGAATATTTTGGACAATGGAAGCGAAAATGAAATTCGTCTTCAATTATATCAGAGTTACAAATAGGGCAGAATGTTTCGTTGCGGGAAGTTTGATTATATCTTCCAGTTTCAATCATGAGTTTGTGGTTACTTATACGAATTTTCACTAAGTCTTTCCTATTCGCTGAATTTCTAATTAAGTCTAGATAATGGCAGTTTAGTACTTGAAATACATGGTGTGCAAATTATAGCTTCATACAATTAAGGAAAGTGGTATTTTTTGGCGCTCAAAAACCATTAATTTTCGTCCGCCATTACAACGCTATGTTCCTGTGGCCTGGTTACCAAGAACACAAGGCAATTTGCTTTGTGACGTCATTTACTTAACGCAGTACACACAGCGTGACAATTTTCTACAAAGAACCCTGCTCAAGAATGTTCCCTTTCCTGCCACTTCGATGCGTTCTTGTTTAGGAAAACTCTTTCGATCTTACTACATTAGGCTCCGTATGTGTACAGCAACCGCTTCAATCGATAGAATTGAGCTACACGCGAGTCTGACCAGCTGAATGTGAGATTCGACGAATAGGTTTGTTTCCAGCTGACAGTTTCGCTGTTTTCTCAGTTTGATAACTTCGAAGAGTGCTGCATTAGCCTTATTTTACGGGGCTTTCAACGCAAACCAGTGGCGGAAAATTAAACTTGGATCGTTTGCTAGCATATGGAAGAAAGATCAATCAACAGATCTTGAATCCGGAAAGAAATCTTCGCATAAAGAGGGAGCGCATGGAGGTAAGCTTACAATTAGCAAACTGGCAGTGAATGTCACCAGTGCTCATTGTTAAGTTTATTTATATCGCCGGTGGTGATTTTTGCTTTTACTACTGGCGAAGTCATGGAAGATAAATTTTTTCTTAGACATTTCTTCGACTGGAACGCTACGACTACGAAACTGTTAGGAAACTTTCAGAAAGGTTTTGCCCTGGGGCAATAGATCACAGAGAGCCCTCTAGTTTTGTAAACACTCTCACACACCTTGCCCTTGTAGAGTACCATTTTTTCTGTTACCACTATAAACATTCCTTTGAGCTTTTATAAAAAGCCTTAAACTGAGTTCTATTTGTAAATTTTTATTATAAAATATTAAAATCTATCAGGATCATGGTGCAATCTGAATGATATGATCTTTCAATATACAGTAAATTCCTTAGTATTTCCAACATTCTGGTCGCCATAACCCTCGCTAAACAAAAGGTATGCTTTTTTCAATTTTAGTCTTCCCAAAACTCAGAGCCTGATTTAAACTGCACAGACACATTGTCAGTTCAAACCACAAGCTAAAGCAAGAGAGCCTATACAAGTTTATTGCAAAGACTGTTTTTGCAATTTTGTAAAATACAGCAAGAATTATTACCATTTACTGTTGTGGTCTTTAAAATAAAATTGTGATCCTATCTTGAATGTTGTGTATTGTTATTCTTTTGAGCGAATAATAAAAAGTTTTGCAATCTTGCATTGAATACTTATAATAATTATAATGATAATTTGTTTATTTTGAAGGACGCTTCAAAATTATTAATTCCCCACATCGTAGATCAGTTCGTGGGTTTTGTCATTTATTGTGATTTATTGTTACATGTAGTTTAACCTGCGCTGCAGGCGTATTGTACACTTATCTCGAATTATCATCTTGCAAGTTTCTGCTCGAACGTGTTCTTGATCCGTTTGTACATTTCCTTTAGTACATTTTCTTTAGTTCAATATGTCTCAACGTGATCGTCGTGCGATCCCCAGGGTCGATTACGCTGCGTTAGAAGCAGGACGTTCCCCAACTGCTTTAAATACTACTTTGGAGAATGCCCGTTCAGCGGATGCTCTGAACTCGCCGTCCACGATTGTTCAGATTCCCACATCACAAGTAGATTCACATGGATCAGTCTTTTTGGAACTCGAGTCGCTACGAGGGGCTCTGGCGACTGCCAAAGCCGAAAACGAGCAATTACTCCGAAACTCCGAGCTGCGGGATCTTCAAAGCGAGTTATCCTCTCTTCAACAGCAGAACGCTCTGCTTCGACAGCGCTGAAAGGATCCGCCCCCTTCAAATGTGCCCGCTTTGTCCGTGCAAGATCTCCGTGAAATTCCAGGGTTGAATGCCAGGGCTGACGCTCAACTTCAAAAGCTTGGCCTTTCCGACTCGTCTAGTGACTCGGATGAGTCCGCAGATGACGGGGAGGGCAATCATAACCGTCGTGAACGGTCGAAACGAGGTAAGAAGCTACGTTCTGGGAAGACGGCTAAATTAACCAGTAAAGTTCTTCACCCTCAAATTTGGCCGCACAGCGAATTGAGCTTCCTGTACGTATCCAAGGAAGTCACTTACGATAATTTAACTCTTGCGGAATTTGCCGCAGGCTACACGTCGATCCTTCGCCTTCCGAAACTGAGTGCACCGGAACGGACGGCGCGCATTGAGCACTTCGCCACCCTGATGTATTTACCGACACAGTTTCCTTGGCCGTTGGTTCGTTCTCTTCATGCGGCAGCTCTGTTTGAAATTGAATGTGGCCGATTACGTTGGGGCGACTCCTTTTCTCATCTTGAAGGTCGTTTGCTGCATGGTCCTTCCAATCAATCTCGCTCTTCTACTGCCACGACACCAAAGCCGGCTGTTCAGTTCTGTAAAGCTTACTAGAGTGGCAAGTGTTCCTTCACCAAGGATCATTTTGGCCTTATAAAGAATGAGCGTAAATGGGTTCAGCATATTTGCGCAAAGTGCTGGTTAACACAGCAGGATGTACAGCGTCACCGCGAGAATTCTGCAGAATGTCCTTTTACCGTCAGTCCGCCACCTACCTCTAGTCATGTTGGCCCTTCCAACGTTTGACTTGCGGGAGCTTCTCGAGTGCCCTCTGATCAGACAATTTTCCCATGTTCAAGTTTGGTTCCTTCTTCTTCTCGTTTTCCATGTTCAACAGTTCCAGTTAGTTCGTGTGTGTCCGTATGCGACAGTTTACAAACAGTTTTAGTCTCCGATCGGCTGCAATGGCGTGTCAACGCATTACGAACGCAGTGTGTTACATTTGTGAAATGGCGGGACATCACCCCCTTAGTTATTTAGACGATTTTATCGGTGTGGCCACTCCGGACATTGCCTGGCAGGCTTACGATTATTGTGGTCACCTTCTTGCCGAACTTGGTCTTGAAGAATCTCTTAGCAAAGCTTGTCCGCCTGCTACGATTCAAACTTGTTTAGGGGTGCAATTTGACACTGTACAAATGACACTTTCCGTCACACCAACACGTTTGACGGAAATGGAGACTCTCCTCGTTTCATGGTCTACTAAGAAATCCGCTACGAAGTCAGAGCTACAGTCTCTGGTCGGTAAGCTTTCCTTTATTTCCAAATGCATTCGACAGAGTAGACTCTTTCTGTCTCGCATTTTAGCCTTGTTACGAACACTTAGACAGAATGGTCATCGCCTCGTCTTTCCACAGAGTTTCGCAGGGACATTGCGTGGTGGCTTCGCTTCATGCGGACCTATAACGGCGTTTCAATCATTTCCTCGCTGGTCTGGACTGCTCCCAACGCCGTGTTCTCCACTGACGCATGCTTATCGGGATGTGGTGGCTTGACACAGTCTCAGTATTTTCACGTTCAGTTCCCCGCCGACGTTCTTGCTCGGTTTTCAGAGATTCACCTTTTGGAAGCGCTCGCTATCCTGGTTGCTCTACGCTTGTGGGGTCACCTGTGGGCCGGTTGCCGCATTCAAGTCTTTTGCGATAACGCTGCCGTGGTTTCTGCACTCACTTCAGGAAGAGTGAAGGATCAGTCGCTAGCCGCCATTTCGCGTGAAATCTGGTACCTCGCAGCCTCTCATGACTTTGAACTGCGCGCAGTCCATCTCCCTGGTGAAGAGAATCGCGCCGCAGATTTATTGTCTCGTTGGCATATTGACAGTAGTTAATTTTGAGGCACGTTTCAAGCTCCTTCCCGTGTTCTCACGTTTGAGTCCAGTCCCTGTGCCTCCTGATGTCTTCACAGTTTATGATTATTAATTAGCCTTTCTTACTTCTTCTTTATTGATAGATCGTGAACTACGAGAACTGCGGCGAGATTTAAAGGTCACTCGCAAGGCCGCCTTTGCGGCAGGGACACATAAGAACCACCTCACGCAGTGGCGGACATATTTATTGTTTTGTTTATATTTTTCGTTCGATTTTCTACCAGCCACGGTTGATACCGTTTGTTTGTTTTCTCAATTTTTAAGTAGATAATTAACGCCGGCCTCGGTGCGGAATTATCTTAGTGGGGTCAAGTTTTTACACAGCGCTTTGGGTCATGATTTCCCCTCGCTTCGAACATTTTCTATTAGAATTACGCTTCGTGGTATTGACAGGATGGCGTTACATTGCCCTACGCGCGCGCCTCCTGTCACGCCCTCCATTCTGTTTTCGTTGATTCAGTTGTCTCGTAGTGTCGATTCTTCCCCAGAGTATATCACCTTTTCGTGTGGCTTTTTGTTTGCCTTTTTCCTTATGGCACGTATTTCTAACATCGTTCCTCTTTCTACGCGATCTTTTGATTGTCGTAAGCATTTGTCTAGAGGGGATATCGTTTCAGCCCCCCATGGTCTCACTGTCGCTTTCAAGTGGTCTAAAACTAATCAGACTGGTAAACGTCATTTGCTTTTGCCTTTAGTTGCTATGCCCAATTCGCCCTTGTGTCCCGTTAAGATGTTTCACAGAATGTGTGCTCTCACTCTGGCATCGCCCATGTCACCCGCATTTGTTCTCTCATCTCCGGACGGCTCTCTTTCCCCGGTTATTAAGCGGCAGTTCGTCCAGGTCTTTCGTGAGCGTTTATTTTCGGCAGCCATTCCCCACGCGCACACGTATCGTGGACATTCTTTTCGCAGGGGAGGGACGAATTGGGCTTTTCAGTGTGAAGTTCCTGGAGAACTCATTCAAGTTTTCGGGGACTGGTCCTCCGACGCCTATAAAAGTTATCTAGAGTTCTCCTTGCCGGCTAAGTTACGAGTAGCTAAACGCGTTAGTTCTTCGTTTCTGTTTTCTTAATTCGTTGTGTTATGTACTTTTCCGCCGGACACACCATTTTGTTTGCGCTTGTTTTGGTGGGCAGAGAGCTTTATTTCTTCGGGTGTTTTATCGGTTTTTTGCTTTACTTGAAATAAATCTCTCTTTATGCCAAACAAATGGTGTGTCCTATTTTATTGGTTGTTAGTTTGCTTAGATATCCCCGGGTAATTTGTTTATTTTGGAGGACGCTTCAAAATTATTAATTCCCCACATCGTAGATCAGTTCGTGGGTTTTGTCATTTATCACTCATCAGCACTGCGTAATAGCTTTATTGATCTCGCTGCATGTTCAGCACGTGATTTATTGTTACATGTAGTTTAACCTGCGCTGCAGGCGTATTGTACACTTATCTCGAATTATCATCTTGCAAGTTTCTGCTCGAACGTGTTCTTGATCCGTTTGTACATTTCCTTTACCCATCCCTCGCACCCCGATGGTGGGCAGAGAGCTTTATTTCCTCGGGTGTTTTATCGGTTTTTCGCTTTACTTGAAATAAATCTCTCTTTATGCCAAACAAATGGTGTGTCCTATTTTATTGGTTGTTAGTTTGCCTAGATATCCCCGGGGAATTATAGTACATGTATATCATAATTTGAGATGTAAACTCCAACACAGTGGCACTCATGCACTGAATCAGTGAAGTGATGTGACTGACAGATTGCAAGTTAAAAATGAATACTCACCAAGGCTTGGTCACTGAAATATTTACTGCAACTGAGGGTTGTGAACATGTTTCATGGCCCCTGCTCATCACTGCTGCTTTATGTTTCACTACTGAAGGTTGTGCTCTACCAGCACCCAGTTGGCCCATGGTGCTTAACTATTGTTCTGGGGCAACTAGGAAATTTTTTCGTACAAATCATGTGCTGGGCACCCAGGATTTCATGGGTCCGGAGCACTGGGCTCCTTTCAATTTTTCTTAGAGCACAGCCCTGCTACTTCAAAAAACCTTGGTGTATCTTTTAATATGGGGTAGACTAATGTTATTCCTATAAATGAGGAGCTTCATGGCCCCTTCCCGCATACAAAGGCACTGTCCACCCTAGCCTGACAATTGATCTGCAAACTTGTTGATCACAAGATAAATGTGAGGCCCCAGCTAAGAACCTGGAGGACAAGTTTTGGTCTTACGTACCATGTGCAATATAGAAATCCATTATTTTTTAGGCATACCAGTGATTACATTAAACAAACCAAGGGCTGTAATACTGTTTAAAGGTTGCAATGTTATTGTTCTTTGTTGCCTCATTTAGCATAGTCTATTTTGGGGGTATTATATAGCCTGAGCCAAGCTAGGGAAGGGCCCACGCAGGGCAAAGGGGCTGCCCGACTTTTTGAAAAATAAATAAAATTAAGTAAAGTGGAACCTTGACATAATGAAGGGCCAAGGGACTGGCAAAATATGTTCATTATAATGAGGTTTGTTAACTTATATCAACATTCTTTTTCTTTTTGCCTTATATTTTACTATTAGTGGAGTCCAAAAAAATAGTTTGTTAGACTGAGGACTTTCTAGAGGTGCCATCATAATATGCATTTTTATATGAATAGTATCTTTGTTGGAATAAGAATCTTCCAGCATCTAAATTTATTATTGGTCCGTTTTGATCCCATCAGTCTGATGCGTAGTAAGCCTCAAAACGCCTATCTTAACAAACCTGCACTTAGTCCTAGATTTCTGCATTTTCAAACCAGCAAGGCTATGTAGCATTTGCAACGATGCGGAATAGTCTTTTTTGATGAAGGTTCTCAATTAAATCTGAAGACTACTCTACGAACTATGGTTTCTTAAAACGAATTATTTCAGCTGATAATGTGGTCTCTGACACATTTCAATGACATACTAGACAAGATGAAAGCATTACAGGAACCTACAGTGTAATATCATGATCTGCAAACTTCCTAGTGGTGGATCCAGCATGTGTAATCACGCTCAGCAGGAGAAAGGTACTTTTCAGCGGCTTAAAATTTATGAACATGAATCTGCTCAACAATGACTCAGGAAAGGTTCAGTAATCTGATAGTTCTAAACAGCCACAAAGAGAGAACAGCCAAATTTGCTTTCCCCACCCCCCCGCACATCAAAGTAGGTGGTCACCGGCCCCTGCACTTTAAAAACTGCTCCCCAGGCCCTGTTAGGGGTTTTAACTCTTAAAATTCTAGTTTCTAATAATATTTTACACTGGAAAAAACCAGCAAGAAAACCCACAGAGCACAATCAACTGGGTAACACTTCTTCCTAGAGGCAAGTTAATTCATGGCACACTGTGTTATCAGCAGAATCGTGCAACCTAGTGATGTACTGAACCATTCAGTTTTTCAATACACAAAGTTAGTTGCAAATAATAATTTATTAATGCAGTGATAACCTACTCTATGATCTACAGACACCCACTTAACTGGACACCCATATATAACAGGCAGTTTTGTTTGTCCTGGGGAAAAGCTAGCATTTTTTCTTTAAAATTAACTGGCTCAGTACGCACAGCAGTTAATGTGCAACAACCACTTTTCTGTGTTTCAAGTCAGAAATTCCTATATATTCTTAATCCAGCTTTACAGACACTGGTTACCCCAGGCACTTTCTATTTTTCTTGTCACAATCATGTGCCAATTGTAGACATTGTACTAAGTTCACAGGTTAATAAGATTTTATTACCAAAACATCTGCAGCCAAATAGCATGACACATTTGATTTTGATACATCTTTCTTTCTTTCCCTGTTTGTAGTCCTTTGATAAATTTTCTGCCTCCTACTCGACAAGTTTCACATCCTTGGCTTTTTGCTACAGTCATTCTTCCCACCCTTCTTCCTCCTTGTTGCTTCATGCTATATATCAAATAAATCATGTATCTGTGACCTTTCTCCAGAGAGCTAACTTGATATGGGCACCCAAATAATACGGACACCCAGATACAGTAATACAGACATCATAACATGTCTGTATTAACCGTTCCACTGTATATATATAGCTTCAAAGCTGGTCCCAGTAAAGGGAGCATCCAAAAATATGCACACCTGGGTTTGAATAATAATAAAAAAAAAACGTCACATACAACGTCATAAAGTGATCTATAAAAATTATGGGAATACAAGGGAATATCATTGACAATAGTTGGATGAGGTGATATCTCTGAATTTTTATTAGTGGCAATAATGATCTGCAGTCAATCGATAGGGAAGGCATAGGCAGACACAGCCTTCTCAAAAAAACAAGGGCTACAAAGAATATGACAGTCAGTGTCTTTAATGTCAGCACAGAAAATTATTAAAATTGATATCAAGAGCGAGCGATCCCCTATCTATTTATATTGAAAATGAGTACATTAACTTTTCTGACAAAGAGAACTTAACATTTGATCTCATCAAATCCTCAGCTCAGATACGCAACACTAAAGTAACAATTAAATTTTCAATAATAAAGGACAGCAGTTCGTTTAAGACGGCAAAAAAAAACACATGACAACGATCAGGATGCTTTACAACTGAAACTTAGCTGAACTGAAAACTGTTCCCACTCTGATTCGCTGTGCC